AGGGCAATCACTTCCGATATATCCCCTTTGCTCCGCCCCAGGGTGACCCCCTCCGGTATATCCCCTTCGTTCCACATCCAGGGTGACCCTCTCAAGTAACTAGGGTTATAAATGAACCAAATGTTCGGCAAACAGCTCGAGCTCGAGCTTGACTCGTTAAGAGTTTGGTTCGTGTTCGTTTGCTTAATAAACGAACCAAGCTCAAACAAAATTTTCAAGCTCGTTTAATAAACAAACCAATCTTAAACAGCCTCCAGCTCAGCTTGTATGCTCGTGAACATGTTCATGAACAAGCTTGTTAATAGGCTCATTTTTTTTTTTTTTAATAAATAAAGATTTTATAAAAAACGCTCAAAAGGGGAGCGGATCCCAAGAAAGATACAAAAAATCAACAATCTAGCTTCATAGGAAAACACTTGGAAAAGCAAACCCTCCCCCCCTTCCACCACCTCTCCCTCCAAACCTGGACCCCCTATTCCTCCTTTCATACGTGATAAAATCATTGGGACTTTGCATCACTATCTCCCCCCTCTCCTCCAGAAACCCTACCTTACCACCCACCTTTTCCTTAAAATGAGAAGAGGGGAAGAGTCAAAAGGAACTGAAATTGAAAATATACCAGGATCGAAACCCGATTGCGAAGATGCCACCCATTTCTGTTTATCTTTTCTTGACCACTTTTTGCGAAGAGCGAGAAGGTTAATCTTTTTCTTAGGTAGACGATGTCCCAGCACCGGATCCTTCACTCGCCGATCAACCTTGACTTTCGCATTAATCAAACCAGCAGCACAAGAATCACTGTTATTTCTCATCAACGACAAGGGCTCAAACCTATTAGACACCAACCCAGATCCAGAACTCGGCCCACTATTCAACCCCGAAAGTCCACCTATTGAATCATCTCTAGAAGAATGGGCACTCGGCCCACCAACCACATCACAGGAAGCTAGCACATCACAATCCAAGTCCAAAGAATCAGACAAAGGCCTTTTAGAAACTGAAGTAGGCCTTTTAGGCCCATCAAGCGGCCCAACAGACCCAGGCAAAACAATACTAGAAACAGGAGCCCTTTTATCAAGTCCACCTTCAAGCCCAACTAAAGGAGCCGAATTTGAAATGTTCGTGGGATCAGCTGTTCTCCACTGGGAACGGATAAGGCCTGAGCGCCAACCACGTGGAAAAACTGGAAACCTCCCCCTCCCACACGCCTGCTAAGCGTGAAAACCACCTCATCGTCTTAATTGATCCCACTACTGCACAAAAGGCCGACGACTATTTCCGGCGAGACCTCCGCCCCACTGCAACTTCCGAGACCCTTCTTGCCGTCGGCGATTCGGCAAACAAGAAAGCCCGTCCTTTCGATTCTGATTGAAGATCCTTCTAAAGCACTCCGAATTGCTCTCCATTTCTTCCATGCCTGGAACTCTGCCATACCTTTTTTCCGCATGGATTCCCACCGCAGCCATACTTTCTCCTTAAGCAAGTGCGAACCATCCCCTCCTTCCAAGCTATCTGTCGTCGGAACAAGCTCGGGATGCTTTTCCTCCCAGACATACACCTTATAGCAGAACTGGTCATCATGAATGAACACAAACGAAGGGCAAACCTTAACATCAAATACAGTGATTCGAACTCTTTTAGCGTCCAAAGCTTCATCAGCATCAACCCAAATGAACCCTCCACAAAGATCGCCAACTGTCACAAACAGAGCATGGCTCCAAAGGTGGAGAGGAAGACCATACGGCGTCACCTTTTTCAACCCCTGCTCCTTCAACACCTCCGAACACTCAACCCTAAAACTCCAAGCTTCCAAACAAAGAGATGTCGTTCCCCCGTCACGGCGACCCCCCTTGAGAACTCGAGAAGCTTCCGCCGAGGAAGGAAACCGGAAAAGCAGTAAAGAATCCGGCAGAGGCGAGACCGTCACACCAGAGGAGACCTTCCAAGCACGCGAAGCCCAAGCTGCAATTTGAGCCCCATCACCCACTTCCTTATCAAATTTCCCAACCAAACACGACCGAAGGTCTTCTCTTCTTCTTCGAACCGAATCATCATCCAAGAAAATCGATGGGCCTCTATACGGATTTGCAGATCTAGCAGACCCACTTTGGAACAAGCGTGGCAATCTAGCAACTTCCAAGAAAGAGCGTTTGGGCTCGTGAAATTTATATTGATAATTTTATAATTTTATGTTTTGAAGGCTCAACCCACATCTAATTTTTTTTTCCTAGTTGGTACTCACACACACATCTCTTATGAGACTTGAACCCCTGACCTCCCTTTGGAAAGTAAGAGGCTGATACCGCTAGGCCACATCTAATAAGCGCATTAAATATTTAAATTTTTTGTTTTAGATGTAAAACTCGGCCTAATCCAACCCAATCTATATTTATCATTCATTCATTTTACAACAAAAACCCAAGCCCATCTATCGAGTTCAACCCAAGCCCATCTATTACTAAAGTCTAACCTAGTATTATCATCTTCACTTTTTGTAAAATAATCAGTAGCCGCCGTAGTAGCAGCAGCACAGCAACACCCTCAGCGTCAGCGATCTGCCAGCGAACACTAGAAACAACTTGATCGTCTGTCTTGCTCTTGCTGTATTTTTTTCATCCAATCTCTCTCTCTCTCTCTCTCTCTCTCTCTCTCTCTCATCCCATGGGGTGTTTGGATCTGAGTATAGACGGCGTCACCGATCGTCCATCACTGTGAAGACTTAAGATCAAAGCGTAAGTATCGACCGATTTCTTATATATATATATATATATATATATATATAAGGAGAACGCATATGTGGAATACAGTCTAACAAGCTCGATTCGAGCTGTGCTTGAGCTCGTCAAACAGCATCAAGCCAAGCTCGATCATGCCTGAGCCAAGCTCCACCGAACTCGAGCCAAGCTCGAACAAGACTAAAATTTGCCATGCCGAGCCGAACCTAAACACTCCAAAACTTCGCTCGGCTCGATTACAACCCTACAAGTAACTCCCCTTGCTTCATGGAACCCCATAGTAGGGCTCTCCCTCTTATCCCCTTGCCTATTCAAAGCAGCTCAAGAATCTTTTCCATCAGACTTTCACCTAGGCCGTTAACTTTGGACACTTTTGTTATACGCCTACCATCTTACGGGTGACGCCTCCATCTTACTCTTTTCGATGAAACACACATCAACAATAGTTACAATAACAAACAGACATGAGATACGATAAAAAGGTTGACAATTCAACCGACTAAGTAGGCCTCTCATTGTATTATGACTACAAATTCAAATATCATTTTTTATTTCATTTGATTATAAAGTTTGTTGTATGGAATGTGTGTAGAGTCAAAAAGCAGAAAGTAAAATGGAGTCGATTGTGTTGGACTGGTTGCAGACCAAGGGTTTCAATGGGAGTTAGTATCATTCTACATAACAAAAATTTCTCCTTTGTGAATTTGCAGAAAATAGGAATTACATTAACAGCTATTTGTCATAATTGCTTTGATAATGCAGACACCAATGATCATCTGTTCTGCAATTGTGTGTATGCTTAAGATATTTGGAATATCTTGTTCAATTTGCTTCATTTACAGTGGCCGAGAGTTATTTCTATCAGTGAAATTATACTGGTTTGTGATGCAAACTAGTGTACACCATACCAAGTCTAAGTTTCTGGGTGCAATTTTTGCTGCTACAATATGGAAGATAAGGATAATGAGAAACTCAGCTCTTTATAATGGATTCAAAGATGATGCTGAATATGTAGTTCAATCCATCATTTGGGATGTGCTTGCATATCTCAATATTACATTACAAGACTTGATAATTGTTTTTTCATTATAATGTCATTCAAGTTGCTGAAAAGAAGCTTGGATACGCAAATGGATTGAATTCAGGTTGACATTACTGGTTTTAATTTGGGCTGGGAGGTCAAGACACATGCACTCTTTATGTTTTTGTGACAAGATTGTTCAAGTGCAGCAATTGGACAGTCTTCAGGTCTTCATAATGGGCTTATTTTTTTTTTTTTTTTTTTTTGATAAGTCATAATGGGCTGGTTTTTGAAGTTAAAGATCAGTAATCTGTTCTCTGGTTTTTAGTCTGTTTAGGTTTTGTTTGTTGTGCTTTGTAAATGGACTTAGTCCATTTTTTTGGTTTGTTTTGGAGGTTTGTCCTCCGATTTGTAATTGTACTACTTTTGCATTATATATAAAACAAAAATACCCCCATTCAGGAAAAAAAAGATTATAAAGTTGGTTTTACAATAAAATTGATACATAAAACAGGTGTTTAACACCTCTTGGTTTAACCCATTGAAATTAGTGTTTAACCTTTAACTAAATTATAAGAACATGATCTGAGTAAAGCGTTAGGCATTTCAATGCCTTGAGTACATCTTGAGAATTGTTGGAACAAAGTTTTGATGGAGTTTTATTGAATGAAAATTTAAGAGAGGGCATCTGGCTGTTAAAAGATACGTGATCAAATTAAGCCATGAATGCTGCATTGATTCATTGAATAGTTGCCAATAAAATGACATTATTGGCATGTACCAGATCCAAAATAAATAAAGAAAATGCAGGTTGAATTCATGTGTAACAATATGTCATCTACGAGCAAAGAAGGAAAAAAGCCAATGCTTAAAAGTTGAAGAACTAGTAAATAACAGCATTCACATTGTAACAAATTCAATAGTGGATTAGCTTAATTTATTTAATGGCAATATTTAGATAATGCATTCTCAGCTTCTGTCCAAGTATGACCCTTTTTCTTGTAAAATCTATGGCCAAGAGTGTTACATTGAAAGAAAACTAACTATAGATAGCTGAATCATATAGCCTGAGAGGTCAACTAGTTAAAAAGTTATATTTAAACACATTTCTTCTAATAGGCTACAATAAGCAGAGTCCTCAGTGAACCAACAAGAATTACAGTTACAATAGAAGATTCAATTATCTATCGCTGCATGTTTGCTTTGGGGAGTTGGCATTAGTAAAGTTAAGTGCAAGAGATTACCATATATTTCCTTTGCTATCTCGTTGAATATACGAACCAAATCTCTTCGATAGTTATAGTCTCTTGATTTTGGAAGGCGGGTGACATAAACATCATAAAGTAGTTCATCAAATTGAGATATACATCCCGGGGTGACACTATTCTTTTGTAATTCCTTTAATTCAAGTTTCCTTGCTTTCTTGCGCAGGACTGAAAACAAAGCCAGAGCATTCGAAGAATTACTATTTCACAAATCAAACCATCATTCATACAAAAACATTTTAGGACATCCAGATAATTTTCATACCAATGCACCATTATCATCAAATGTTAGTGAGAAATAGATAAGACATTGAAATGAGAAGTAATGATCACTCACCTTTTTCACCTAATCCCATGATTTAGAACCTACAAGTTGGTGAATGACGGGACTTTAGCTTAAGGGAAGAAAAACATTGTCCACCTACCTCTACAAATAATATAAATTCCAGTAAATAAGATGGTATTGCCTATCACCAAATCAGCAAAAATAAACAATATTAGTTCATTAAGTTCAGCATTCAAAAACTTCATAGCAGGCAGTACGGATTTTACAAGCAAAATAAACCAGTGAAGAGAAGTAACCACTTCACCAAATAATAATAAACATTACGGTTATAATTAAATATATACACTTATCAATCATGCTATGCAATAGTTCCACGTTCTACAGACCCAAAACCCTGATGGCTTCATATGATGCTTGACAAATAGAAGTTACTGAAGAGGCAAGACAATATTGATAAACTCTTATTTATATTTTTTCACTCCCTCGGTGAGGAAGGAAGAGAAAGAGAGGAAAGGAAGTTTTAGATTGTTAATTGCTGTATTTTAGAATGAATTTTTACCATATTCTAAAAATGTGTACCAATAAAAAAATAACTAGGTATAAGTGTTTAACAGTAAACAGTAACTTTATCAAGCTGCAAGGCACTCTAAATAAGCAAGAGCATTAACTATTTAAATAAAGAATGGTGCCTTGAAAAGTCTCTTTTTGTTTAATTAAGTCAAAGTCCATCCTTGTTTCTATAAAAGTATTACTAGAGTTTCGAACTACTAAGTGTTAGATTAGGGAAGTGATAAAATGTTATTGATGCTGTGTGGAGATTCTTAAAGTCGGCAGGAGTCATTAGAAGTTCTATTATAGGCAGCTGATATTGGCACTCCAATAATGTCCTCAACACTCCATTCTCCTTTTTTTTCAAAAAAAATAAATTACAAAAAAAAGTCCCTAAACAGAATGCTTAGTTTCGAACTACTAAGTGTTAGATTAAGGAAGTGATAAAATGTTATTGACGCTGTGTGGAGAATATTAAAGTCGGTAGGAGTCATTAGAAGTTCTATTATAGGCAGCTAATATTGGCACTCCAATAATGTTCTCAACGCTCCACTCTCCTTTTTTTTTCAAAAAAAAATAAATTACAAAAAAAGTCCCTAAACAGAATGATTTGTTCTGTACAAACTATTGTACAAATGAACATTGGGTCCGTGTATTTCATTGAAAACGTTAACTGCTACAACCATTTGGCAACACAGCAAAAACACGACAATAAGTTTGGGCACAACGAAAGAGTTTGTGAAGATTGGCTCTGTATTTATAAGAGTGAACTTTCTCCAAATGGTTTACGTTCATACACTTGTGAAGCCCTGATAGCCTTTTTTCAAAGAGGGTGCATGTGGAGACCCGTGTGTGGGCTCGAATTGTTGTGGATATTTGCATTTTCGTGTGGGAAAAGCTTTAAAATGGAGAAGAGTCTTTGCATTGTAGAAGATGGATTAATAATTTAGAATGTAGCTTAGTTATGAGGGATTGGATGAATTAGGGAATAATAAAAGAATATTGGTAGTTCTGAAAATAGATAAGGGGTGTGTGTGTGTGTGTATTCCTTTTAGTCTCTATGGCTAGAATTTGGTGTCAGTCAAACTCTTGTTTTAGATTGAATTAATTCACAATTTTATTTTTTTTTTTGATAAGTAAATTGTATTAAAAGCGTTCAAAAAGGGGAACGCGACCCAAACTATACAAAGACAAAACGGAGCCTATGAATTCAAAGAACTCATAAAGTCAACAATCTCCTCAAGAGAGGAGTAGTCTCTCCCCTGACCCCAACAAAACAAATTACAAATGATAGAAAATTTTAACACCCCAACGGAGGATTCCTTTCCTTCAAAAGATCTTCCATTACGCTCTCTCCAAAGGCTCCACCAAATACAAAAAGGGATCACCCTCCAAAAAACTCTGACTTGAGCCCCCACCCATTGGCCCCTCCACATATCTAACAACTCCCAAGATGTCCGAGGCATGACCCAATGAATACCAAACAGGCCAAACATCAAACTCCAACAATCATGAGCCACAGGACAGTGCAACAAAAGATGATCCACCGACTCCCCATTAATCTTGCAAAGACAACACTTATTAACAATGATATGTCTTCTCTTCCTCAAGTTGTCCAACGTCAAAATCTTACTCCAAGCAGCAGTCCACACAAAAAAGGCCACCCTAAGAGGTGCCTTAGACCTCCACACCGTCTTCCATGGGAATGAGGTACCATGAAAACCAGAAAGGCACACAAAAAAGGACCGGACCTGGAACATCCCCTGAGAAGAAGGCACCCAAATCAAAGAATCTGCCCCAGACCCCTCCACCTCCTGTCCGTAAAGAAGAGCCAAAAACCCAGTGACATCATCCAGCTCCCAATCCTGAAAAGCTCGCCGGAAACGCACATCCCAAGACAACCTTCCACTATCAAGGCGATAATAGTCAGCAACCATTGCATGTTTGTCAACAGCAATCCTAAAAAGCCTGGGAAACAAAAGGGCCAAAGGCCTATCATCACACCATGGATCCTCCCAAAACCGGACAGTTCTTCCATCCCGAACTCTGAATCTAATATGTTTGGAAAAGGGGTATCACTTTTGAGAGAGAGAGAGAGAGCAGTGAAACCTCTATTCACAATTGACTTTGGATACCACTTTTGAGGGAGAAAGGGTTTTGAAAGCTCAAGGTTTGGGTTAATTAAAGAGAGAGGAATGTGATAAAGTTTTGGGAGAATTGTAACTAATCATACCATTAAACCAGATTCTGATCTAGATAGGACTCTATTTTCTCTAACTAGCATCCACACACAGTAAAGATAGGGTGATTTCACCGGCATTTAAGGGCAATTATGGCATTGGAAAATGCAAGAACAAACCATTATGTGGTATAAGGACTTTTCCGTAATTTCATTTTAGGAAAAAATGAAAGTGGATCGCCAGTGCCCATATTATACATTAAAACACTTTCTGTTTAATGTGTGTATAGAACTTTTAAGCATACCAGTTTCAATAGATAAAAAAACAGATTCATACCAAAAGGACGATTGAAAATATATCCTTAGCTACTGTAGCATGTAAAAGAAATTCATTTTTGTTTTAGTACAGTTCCCAAAGACCTCCTAAGTGAGTAGAAATAAAACAGAAACATTATTACATGGAATTTCAAAAATACTAGTATGCAAATGCATATATGGGCATCATTATCAAATTTTAAACCAACACTTAGCACTTAAACACACGCACAAACAAGTGTGTGTGTATATATGTGAATGTGTCTGTACACGACATGAACACTCGTTTGCTGTTTCAAAATCGACAAAGATGAATGTTACAGTGATGTATGGCGTTAACAAAATGTGTTTATACACACACATACGACAATAAAATAATTTTAGATTCAGGTCATAAATTGTAGCATCGCATAAAGTGACCTATAATTGCAGCACATACAGCAAAAACCCTAAATTCGAAATCGAGTCACAACCATAAACTATTAAGAGAATCGGAAACGACTGGAATTCAACACACTATCTATCTATCTATATATATATATATATATATAAACACACACTATGTATGCACACACACGTAGATTTATGCATATACAAGGAAGAGAATCTTGGGATGTACTTGTACCTCGTAGGACCAAACGCTGTGTGATTTTGGATCATGACATATACGAGCAAAAAGAACGCAAGTATAGAGAGAGTTCGGAAACGGAGTGGGGCCAGAACGATTACGAAACTCATAAAGCGGGATGAGCAAGCTGTAGATAGGTTAGACGACGAAGAAAGGGGATTGCAAGCTAGTAGGAACCCAGCCACGCACGGAACACTTTCTATAGATAGATCCTCCGCCGTGTCACTCTACCACGAACCCATGTTCCCCCGGAGTCTTTCAATCCTTCCCTATGTAATAGGGAGCGATATTGGTCCTATGATCAGAATGGGATGATAGAGGCCTGCCCTAGTCAATGACACCGCTCATTGTATCAGATGTGGCTCTTCGACCCAAGCCAGAAACATGAGCGAAATGTCACGGGTTAGGTTTAAGCACCACTCTAGCTGTTTACTTTTACTTTCGCAAATACTTAGTCAGCATAACTCCTGTACACATCTTAGCCAACACACCCTCCTCATGCGTTTACTAGTATTGTAGTGGCCCTCGCCCACTCCTCACTTGACTTGCATATTCACACACACTAAGACACTTACGTTAGTAAGGAAATAATAATTCTATTACTTCAAATAATATTTTGTACAAGGCTAGCACTCAAATTCTCTACAAGGCTCTCAAGACTCACTATAGGACTTGTTGCCTACAAAATGAAGTCCTACTCCTATTTATAGGTATCTCCATCCCTAATGGACAGCTAGGTTGCATTTCAACCAACGGTGGAGATCTATTCTCTAGAATCTTTTCCCACCTTCTTCATACATCCATACATATCTACAAGTATCTATAACATTCTAAAACTCTCCATACTACTCCACACAATTCTGGAGAACTCTAGAATATACTACACATATCTAGAATCTTCCACACAACTCTAAACAACTCCGGAAAACTCTAGAAATGCAATTCGCCATGCAGCGTCCTCTTCAGCATCTGCGTGTCGCCTGCGTGGCATAACCTCCATAGGCGAGGCATGACATTCTCCCCCACCCATTTCCGTAACGCCTTCGTCACAATTTCTTCAGCTGACCTAGCCTCTCGCAGGTCATCAGCACTTACGCATATGTCCTTGGCCCAAACGTATGCACCCCCTTCGGGAGATGTGAGGTCCTCACGAGCTCCATCGTGTTGACTGCCACTTCTGGACTCTCCTTCCTGCCCACGAGCGGCACCATGCATGCGGCCTTGCCTTCCTCGCCTCCAAGTATCATCAACACACCAAGGCATGGTAGTGGCGCGGCGTTGTTCCTGTCCATGAACTCCAGCCCCAGCACCATGTCGTGGTCGTCCATCTCCGCAACCTGGAAGTCGGCCTTGCCCTTCCATCTTTGCATGCATAGTTCCACCTCCTTGCACACTCTACTCACGCGTGCCTCCTCGGAGTTGACGGCCTTGATCCAGCCCTCCGTCTTGCGCATCTCCAAGCCAAGTCGCTGCGCCTCCTTCGGGGTAATGAAGTTGTGTGTGGCGCCCGTGTCTACCAACGCTTGCACGGCTTTGCCACCAACCTGCCCATCCACATAGCGCACCCCAGCTACCTTCTTTGCCTTGCCCTTCTTCTTGGTGTCATGCGTCATGCTACTCAGCATCTACATAGCCCCCATGCACCTATCTTCATCGCTGCCCACATCGTCCATCTTGCCCTTGCCCTTATCCTTTACAAGGGCGCTCATGGTCTTCTTATTAGGACAATGTCACAATATGTGCGGCCTTTCGCACAAGTAGCACTTCAGCGGCTCCCACTTGCCCTTGTCGCGGCTTTCCCCTTTGCCACTAGGCTTGGACCTCTCTCCATGGTCCTTGCCCTTGTTATGGCGTGGGCGTCTCTGCTCATCGCTATGTTCATCATCACTAGACTTGGGCGAGCCCCCTTTCTTGAAGCGCCGATCTCCCTCACCTTTGCCGTGGTCCCTCCTGGGAGATGTGACCCTCTTGTCATCGCGCCTAAGGTCTTCAAGGCGCAACATTATAGCCATTGCGGATGCCAAGTCTCTAGGCTCCCTCCTCCTCAACTCTGTGGCCACCCAAGACTGCAACCCATCTATGAACAAGCACACGTGTTACCGCTCTAACATCTCTGGGATCGCCAGCATCAAATTGGAGTATTCTTTCACATACTCCCTTATGCTGCCCTTCTGCTTCAGGCGCCTTAGGTTGATCATGGCGAAGTCCTCAATGCACTCAGGGTAGAACTACCTCTTGAGCTGCCTCTTGAACTCTTCCCATGTGTCAACCGCTCTTGCGCCTCTATCGGTGAAGCGCTGCCTCCACCATAGAGCAGTAGTGTCCGTGAGGTACATAGTGCCTGTCTGCACCTTCTCCTCATCGTCCTCGATTTCCATGCACTCAAAGTGCCGCTCCATGTGCCAGAAGAAGTTGTCAATCTGGCGGGTATTCCTTGCCCCATCATACTCCTTAGGCTCTGGCGCCTTCTTCTTCCTTGGCTTCACCACGACCTCGCGCGCCTGGGAGAACTCCTTCTTGCACTCGGCAATCTCTACGTGTAAGTTGTCTACCCGATTATGCAAGTCCCTTTCCTTCTCTCGCGCCTTGTTGGCGATGCCGTCAATCAGCTCATAGAGCTCCGCCATCATTTTCTTGAGCTTGTTACACTTGGTCTCCGTATAGAGCAAGTGTGTGGCAAGCTTCTCCTCCAAGCTCTGCGCCAAGACGTGGACAAGCTCTGCGCCAAGACGTGGACTTGGTGGTCTCCTCCCCTATCCATGTCTACTCCAACAAAGCTCCCTTGACGAACCTGCTCTGATACCAGCTGTCACGGGTTTAGAGTTTCAGCACCAAGATGTTGCTTTTACTCTCACAAGTACTTGGTCAGCCTAACTTCCGTACACACCTTAGCCAACACACTCCCCTCGTGCGCTTACTAGTGTTGTAGTGGCCCTCACCCACTCCTCACTTGGCTTGCACATTCACAGACACTAAGGCACTTATGTTGGCAAGGAAAGAACACTTCTATTACTTTAAATAATGTTTTGTACAAAGCTAGCACTCAAATTCTCTACAAGGCTCTCAAGACTCACTCTAGGACTTGTTGCCTACAAAATGAAGTCCTACTCCTATTTATAGGCATCCCCATCCTTAATGGACGGCTAGGATGCATTCCAACCAACGGTGGAGATCGATTCTCTAGAATCTTCTCCCACCTTCTTCATACATCCATACATATCTACAAGTATCTACAATATTCTAGAACTCTCCATACTACTCCACACAATTCTGGAGAACTTTAGAATATACTACACATATCTAGAATCTTTTACACAACTCTAGATAACTCCGGAAGACTCTAGAAACTCCACTCGCCATGCAGTTGCCATGCAGCGTCCTCTTCAGCATCTGCGTGTTGCCTGCATGGCAGAACCTCTATAGGCGGGGCGTGACAGAAAGCTGAGCTATGACTTTAGGGTGTGTTTGGTATGGTTGATTTGGAGGGATAGTGAGAAAAAAGAAAAGAGTGGATAGTGTGAGGGTGTGTTTGGGTAGGTTAAGTGGAGAGATGGGGAGGGGGTAGGTTAAGTGGAGAGATAGGGAGAGATCCCTCCCTATCACTTGTTGGTTTTCTTTCCCAATTTGAGAAGATAGGGAAAGAAAGGATAGTGGAATAAGTTGCAAATTACTAATACCAAAAATACCCTTTAGAAATCAACATACTGAAATGTAATTCCATTTATGTCCCCTTAACTGTACCCTCATTTCCATCACTCTATGTTGTTGTTCAACACCATTTCCAGTAATCGCCTTAAAACTCTGTTCTCTGCGGCTTAATTTCGCCGGAATCTGACATCAACTCCGTGAATTTCACCGGAATCTGAGTCCTACTTTGCATTTTCTTGGATTTTCCTAGAAAATTTCCTGACCACTGTAGTTGTTTATCCAAACACACCCTTAGTTATGAGTTCCACCAATTCTTTCATTGATTCATGAAGTTTTGCGCTGAAAAGACTACACAGCACTCGCTTATTCTCTTATTGGCATTGTGGTTCCGCGGTGGCCCAAGAAATTAGAAGAAATTAACACGCGCTTATCTTTTCGTGTTTTGTAATCGAGCCAGACACTTGATCTTTGCCTGTAGATACCGTATGGGGCTTTTCTTGCTAGAGTAAAATAAATAAATTCAATAACCATAAAAGACAAGGAAAAAGTTTGCACGAACGGGCTTGAATGGGGGAAATGAAACGAGTGGATTGGAAGGGTTGTATGACCCGAACCTGGTAAATGATCCAGGCTGCCTACGTATCCCAACCATATGAGGCGTAATGGGAATCAGGCCAAACGTAGTTCGAAAACCTGTACCTATAAGATGAAGAAATCTTTACCTTTAGGACTAGTTTGATGTGGTGGAATGAATTGGAATGGAATGAGAATGGAGGTGGGAATAGAATAAGAAAAGAATGGAATGGTTATTCCTTTTGTTGGAAGGTGGAATAATTTTGATGGAATGATCATTCTCCAAGAATAGTGGGGAATGATAATTTCAACTTTAAAATTAGCACCAAACACGATAATGAAAAAAAAAAATCATTCCATTACGCTTTCTTTTATTTCATTCCATTACACCAAACTAGCCCTTAGAGCATCATCTCGTAGGCATCTCGGGTTGGAGAAAAGGGTAATGGATCTTTTTCACAGAACCGGCAAAGGCTCATATTCCAAACCAAGTAAGCACGATCGCTCTTTCCCGTTTTATCGGTGTAAGAGACAAGATTCATGGGATCGAGCCGAAAATGGATAGGTGGCTCGGCTTTAAGTAGATCAGGGAGTCATAATTTAGGTAAGGAGCTTCTTATTCCACAACAACGAAAACATAAACCTTTACACTTTATTTGGAATGCTGGATTTGATGGAATTTGGATTTGCAAATAGGATTTGTCTTGTTTGGAACCATAGAATTATAAATAGGATTTGATAATTATAGGATTTCAAATATCTTTTTTATTGCGTTTCAAATCCAGTCTAAAACGCCAAGATTTCACAGGATTTGACTGGATAAATATTCATTAATTAAACCCTTCCTTTTTTAACCCTCCAACGTTTCTTGTTATTAAACCCTTCTTCGTATTAAACCCTATCCTATTAAATATCTACTACCACTGGTCGTTGTTTTAATGTGTGTGTATGTATGTATGTATGTATATATATATTTTCCTTTGAGTGTTGAGCATATCCAATTTATTTTTTATTTATTTATTTATTTTTATTATTATTATTATTATTTGTATACTTCAGTATTTAACATATTGATCCTCAAAGTTATGGAACTTTGAGTAAGACATCGATTTCTTAAAATTACCAAAAGTTTGTGTTTAACCGATTGATCCACCACCACTTTTGTATT